GAACTGTACTGCGGGCAGTACGGAGGGCCTGTAGGTTCCTTTCTGAGGGCAGATTCTTGTAGGCTGACTCGTAGAACTGTGATACCCAACGTCGCGAGCGTGTGGACACTTTTATTGTTAATCCTCCTTTCGTTACTGAACCCGATCTCGACGGACTGACGATTCTTAAGGTGGCGACTGTGGGGTGTATACTCACCTTGCACCCCTGGGGGCCCCCAGCCTGTCTCTTATTGGGTGTCCTATCCTCTAATTGTGACTCCATGGTGGGTATGGGGCTCATTCATGAATTGAATTATTATTTCTTCGTTTCTACGCCACTGAATGATCCTCTTATAACTTCTCAGGCTCATAAGGTGGGCGACCAAGCCCCCCCCCCCCGAGTCGAGTCGGACTGTGTTGGAAGACTGGGCTCTGTAGCCCCCACTACATTGGGCCCAGACCAAGCTACTCCTGTGTCTCTCTTGACTACCCCCCTCCCCTCCCCTCCCCTCCCTCCTCTGTGGCAGGGTTGAGCCCCAAGCCCCCTTGTGGTGACCACCTCATCCCCTGGAGCGGCTACTTCTCTCATTGTGATATCTGCGCCTTTTACCCCTCATCTTATTAGGGGTGCTCGGCGTCGACTCCCCCACAGACACCCTCGCACAATCCTCTCCAGTGGTAATACTTTCAACACCTTGTTTGGTCCTGCTACATGGACTAAATACTTTGATCTCACTCATATTGATTCTACTTTCCCTGACGATTTCTTCCTCTATAAACACCTTGTTGATTCGGTGGATGACTCTGTTACTATTTAACCCCCCACACCCGTACTGGCACACGTGTCGTTGCTGCTCCTTCTCAGGATGCAGCTGCCCGCTTAGCCGCATTGTCCAGCATTGGGGAGTGTCACGAATCTTATTACGATTCTGCCAATTCTCCCGAACCTCGTATTATGTTATTGTTTTCTCTACATAAATATTGCTGTCAGTTGTATAAGATTTGTGTATATAGATATATATACATTATATATCTATAACATAGATAGCTGGGTAGTGTGTGTAAGGTTTGTTTTGGTGGTGGATGTCACGTGAAATTAGCCTTGTGGGCGGTTGACAATATTTGGGAATGGCCAGGGCGATTGTTGGCAAATCAATTGCCTATAGTTTTATATTTATTTATTCCCATATGTGGTAGCCGTAATATTTCAAGGAATGTGAGAACGGTAATTACAACTCTTAGTTAATAATGTTGGAGTTTAGGGCTGACCTTTGTAAATAGAATGTTCACAATGTTCATGCGAACGTTAATTGGTGTTTGGGTAGACAGTTAGTCGACGTTGGGCCTGCGGACCACGTCCTGGGCAGTAGAGTGGCGGCTGCGGTCGAGTGCAGTTGTGTTTAAGCTAAGTTCTTGGTTTTTGTTATTTTAAGCCCATATAAATATTAATTTATCTGGATAGACGATTTTAGTGTATTTATGGCTTACTCCATATTCTGGTGATAGTGCTCAGGTCTCAAATAATTACTTGCATTCTATAGTATTACATGCTGATAAATATGTCTGGCTACTATTTATTTAATGGTTGTTAAGTTGTCACCCTTAGCAAAATATATTGTTCTCCCGTTTTTATACAGTGATTAATTATACCCCTAGACACCTATTGGCATGGCAGATGTTTATTTGTTCTTTACACTGTGGGGAGAAGAACATTATTTAGTCTCAAGGGTCGTGACAAGGAGACCCCTGTTAGGGTCTCAAAAAATGCCCGGTTAAATGTTAGTATTGGCACTGTTATCCTCCCGCACCATGTTGCGACTGCTGTTAGGGACCTGAAAGACTGCCATGAGGATATTAAACATATCCTTGAAGCCCAAGGCCATTCTGTCCTCCAGGTGGACACGTTCACCCGACCCCCTCGTGGTCGTCGTCGTCAGCCACTTCGAGTTGTGAAGTTCATTTTTAATGGCAGAACCCTTCCGCCTTCTGTAATTCTTGCTGGTGCCAGATGCACCATTCAGGAGGATATTCCCTCTCCTAGGTTTCGCAATAAGTGCTGGAAATTTGGGCATGGTGCCCTCAAATAAACAAGTGTGGTGTCTCTATGCCCCATGTGTGGGGACTCTGGTCACTCTAAGGCTGAGTGCTCTTCTCCCCAGGCTCGCTGCCTCAATTGCTGTGACGCCCACCCTACCTTCTCCCGCAAGTGTATACACTACAAATTTGAGGAAGCCGTCCTCAATTTGTCTTGATCTCCACGATCGTTTGCCTTTTCCTGAGGCAAGGTGCCAAGTCCGCCGTAACTCCTCTTTCGCTAACATATCTTATGCTCGTGTTCTACGTTCCACCTCTCCTCGGCCTTCCTTCCTTTCCCAGTCTCACAACCGCTTCCCAGGCTTAAGATCCGAACACACCTACCTCCATTTTCCAAGTTCCCTTACGTTCTGAACCATGGGATCCTCCTCCTGGTTCTCCATCTGGTATTACCCTCCTTCCTTCCCAGTCTGCCGTGTCTCCTGTGTCTTCTTTCCCGTCCCCCCCCCCCCCCCCGATCCTTCTTCCCAGCCCCCCCTACCTGTCCCTTGACTCTCCACGCCGCCTGTCTGTCCAGGCTGTTGTCCATCATCCTCCCAGCACTCTTCCTGTTGGTTGCTCCCGTTCTCCTTCTCCTGGTGAGACTATGGAGGCTGTCGCCCAGTACGTTGTTGCTGGCACACCTGTCTCTTTTAGTCAGAAACGTAAGCCTGGCTCTTCTCCTTCCTCCTCCCCGGCAGGTAAGAAGGCATCACGTCCCCGCCCTCTGACTCCGACTTTAACACAACATTCCCTACCATTTAGGTGGTGGAGCCCTCTGTCCCGACTATGGTGTTTCCTTTAGCCCCGATGCTCTCACAGTTGCTGCCCTTGCTGCGGTGCGCTCCCCTGTTTGTCCCTCTTCACCCTGATTCCCTTGACCGCTCCTCTCTGTTGTCTCCTTCAGCTCCGGACCCTGTCCGTCCTCCCACTCCCTCGCCTTCATCACCTTTGCTAACTTTACCTTTGCCCTCTAACCCTGGGCTGGACACTTGGGTTGGACGGTAGAGCGACGGTCTCGCTTCATGCAGGTCGGCGTTCAATCCCCGACCGTCCAAGTGATTGGGCACCATTCCTATCCCCCGTCCCATCCCAAATCCTTATCCTTATCTAACCCTGATTTCACTGATCCTGGTCCTGACCTTCTTTAGTATACTGTGTTCTTCATTACCTTTGTCTCTTCATTGTTCTCTGTTGCTGTTCTTCCTCCTTTGGATAATGTCTATTCTTCAGTGCCTTTGATTGAAGGCACTGAAGAATAGACATATAGCCTTCACTGGCTTGGTGCCTTCTTTTGATAATTACATTACATTAACCAAGGACAATTTTGTAGGCGAGTCAACCGTACAGAAAGAGGAAGGTGGTGAATGGAGTCAGGAACCACAGGAGAGGCAAAAGTCAAAGCACGACATAAGCGAGAGTGAGAGTGTTGTAAGGACCTCACAAGGTAGTGAAGACAGTAGCGATCACGGCGGTCCTGGAGTGACAGGACGCCAGTGTCAACACACAGGCTGATGGCAGGAGTCGAACGAAAGGCACCAGAGCTGAGGTGTAACCTAGTATGGTGCAGAGAATCAAGACGGCGAAGAGTAGAAGATGAAGCAGATGAGTAAGCAGGGCAACCATGATCGAGGTTAGAAAGAACGAGAGAGGAATGTAAAGAGAGGAGCGTGCGCCTATCCGCTCCCCAAGAAGTATGAGACAAGACCTTAAGTAGGTTAAGGGACTTAGAGCATTCTGCTCGGAGGTAAGAGATATGGGGCAACCAAAACAAACATATATACAAACTCAAATACTTTGAGTGTCAAAGATTAGCCCTAAAAGCTTAGCAGAATCTTTGTACACAAGTGAAGACCATAAAGCGACAAGGCGGGCCGAAGAACTACCTGCTTCCTAGTAAAAGTCAGAGCACTAGTCATAGTTGTAGAGAACTTGCAGCCATGATCGTGGCCCAAGAGGACACGGCATCAGTCGCAGGTTGAAGTCATCGTTGAAGGAGAGGCGAGTCATCACCCCGACAGCCAAGGGTAAGATCATCGACATAGAGCGCCGAGAAGGTGCCAGAGGGAAGGGAAGAAAGGAGACCATTGAGAGCAACCAGGAAAAAGAGCAGTACTCAGACCACTACCCTGGGGCACACCTTCGTATTGCCGTAAAGAGGCAGAGAGAGTGGCACCAAGTCTCACGCTAAAGGAGCGACTACAGAGGGAGATTATAATGAGGACCAAATGAACGAATTTGAGAGAGAATATAGTGCCACCACCACCAGTACACTAACACACCTGGCACCCCAGTGCCACCACCAGTACACTAAAACACCTGGCCCCCCAGTGCCACCACCACCACCAGTACACTAACACACCTGGCACCCCAGTGCCACCACCACCACCAGTACACTAACACACCTGGCCCCCCAGTGCCACCACCACCATCAGTACACTAACACACCTACCACCCCAGTGCCACCACCACCACCAGTACACTAACACACCTGGCCCCCCAGTGCCACCACCACCATCAGTACACTAACACACCTACCACCCCAGTGCCACCACCACCACCACCAGTACACTAATACACCTGGCCGCCCAGTGCCACCACCACCAGTACACTAACACACCTGGCCGCCCAGTGCCACTGCCCTTGTGTTCAAACTTTCAAGTAGGAGCTCGGCGCGACATGTTTTACCCGAGCCTGGCAACACAGGTGTCACAATAGAACACAAACTAATTACTCATCCCCATAGAAATATGTATTCCCCCGAGGAACACACACACACACACACACGCGTGCACGCTCGCGTCGACACACATGGAGAATCATCAGTGTTACATGAGAAATATGTGAGTTGAGGAGATAGGAGACGGTGGTGGGGGTGGAGAGCGGGTGGCAGCGGGGCGCCTCACCTGGGGCCGCCACAGGTAGTGACGGCGCTGCCGCCGCCAGTGTGTTGACACCTGCCGTGGGGGGTAGATGTCGCTGGTGCTCGTGCGCGTCCTGGTGTAGTGTTTTGTGTTGCGGGCGTGTGACGTTGTGTTGGGGTGAGTGTTGTCGGGCCGAGTGTTGTCGTGGTGTTGCGTCGAGTGTTGTCGAGCTGTCGGGGCGAGTGTTGAGGCCCCGGGCCGAGTGTGAAGGGAAGGAGAGAGCAAGTTATGGCCGGCCATTGTTGAGGTGACGGTCTTATTACTGCCGCCAGGAGCACTGTGGGGTGAGTATGTGTGTGTGTGGGTACTGGTGGGTACTGGCGGGTACTGGGCACCTGACGCAGGTGTGGCGGGGTTGTGCAACCCACACCGCTACCCGCACGCAACTTGTGCCCGCACTCTCGCGCCCTGCGTAATTACCCGCTCTCAGGTGACCCTCGGCTGGCTACCCGCACCCGTCCCTCATCCTCCTGTACCCACACCCGTCCCTCATCCTCCTGTACCCACACCCGCCCCTCATCCTCCTATACCCACACCCGCCCCTCATCCTCCTATACCCACACCCGTCCCTCATCCTCCTATACCCGCACCCGCCCCTCATCCTCCTGTACCCGCACCCGCCCCTCATCCTCCTGTACCCGCACCCGCCCCTCATCCTCCTGTACCCGCACCCGCCCCTCATCCTCCTGTACCCGCACCCGCCCCTCATCCTTGTGTACCCGCACCCGCCCCTCATCCTCCTGTACCCGCACCCGCCCCTCATCCTCCTGTACCCGCACCCGCCCCTCATCCTCCTACCCCACACCCGCCCCTCATCCTCCTACCCCACACCCGCCCCACATCCTCCTACCCCACACACGCCCCGCATCCTCCTACCCCACACCCGCCCCTCATCCTCCTACCCCACACCCGCCCCGCATCCTCCTTCCCCACACCCGCCCCACATCCTCCTACCACACACCCGCCCCACATCCTCCTACCCCACACCCGCCCCGCATCCTCCTACCCCACACCCGCCCCGCATCCTCCTACCCCACACCCGCCCCGCATCCTCCTACCCCACACCCGCCCCACATCCTCCTTCCCCACACCCGCCCCACATCCTCCTACCCCGCACCCGCCCCACATCCTCCTACCCCGCACCCGCCCCACATCCTCCTATACCCGCACCCGCCCCTCATCCTCCTATACCCGCACCCGCCCCTCATCCTCCTATACCCGCACCCGCCCCTCATCCTCCTATACCCGCCCCTCATCCTCCTATACCCGCCCCTCATCCTCCTATACCCGCCCCTCATCCTCCTATACCCGCCCCTCATCCTACCCCACACCCGTCCCTCATCCTCCTACCCCACACCCGTCCCTCATCCTCCTACCCCACACCCGTCCCTCATCCTCCTACCCCACACCCGTCCCTCATCCTCCTACCCCACACCCGTCTCTCATCCTCCTACCCCACACCCGTCCCTCATCCTCCTACCCCACACCCGTCCCTCATCCTCCTACCCCACACCCGTCTCTCATCCTCCTACCCCACACCCGTCCCTCATCCTCCTACCCCACACTCGTCCCTCATCCTCCTACCCCACACCCGCCCCACATCCTCCTACCCCACACCCACCCCACATCCCCCTACCCCACACCCGCTCCTCATCCTCCTACCCCACACCCGCTCCTCATCCTCCTACCCCACACCCGCCCCTCATCCTCCTATACCACACCCGCCCCACATCCTTCGACCCCACACCCGCCCCACATCCTCCTACCCCACACCCGCCCCACATCCTCCTACCCCACACCCGCCTCACATCCTCCTACCCCACACCCGCCCCACATCCTCCTACCCCACACCCGCCCCACATCCTCCTACCCCACACCCGCCCCACATGCTCCTACCCCACACCCGCCCCACATGCTCCTACCCCACACCCGCCCCACATGCTCCTACCCCACACCCGCCCCACATCCTCCTACCCCACACCCGCCCCACATCCTCCTACCCCACACCCGCCCCACATCCTCCTACCCCACACCCGCCCCACATCCTCCTACCCCACACCCGCCCCACATCCTCCTACCCCACACCCGCCCCACATCCTCCTACCCCACACCCGCCCCACATCCTCCTACCCCACACCCGCCCCACATGCTCCTACCCCACACCCGCCCCACATCCTCCTACCCCACACCCGCCCCACATCCTCCTACCCCACACCCGCTTTTATCTCCAATATACCATCAACTGTTCCTTCTTTCTAGCCCCCCCCCTACCTTCATATCTATATCCTTCCCACACCCTGGGCCACACCCTGGTCACACCCCTCCCCACACCCTGGTCACACCCTGGCCCACACCCTGGGCACACCCTGGGCCATACCCTGGCCCACACCCTGGCCCACACCCTGGTCCACACCCTGGCCCACACCCTGGGCCACACCCTGGCCCACACCCTGGCCCACACCCTGGGCCACCCCTCCCCACACCCTGGGCCACCCCTCCCCACACCCTGGTCACACCCCTCCCCACACCCTGGTCACACCCTGGCCCACCCCTCCCCACACCCTGGTCACACCCAGGCCCACACCCTGGGCCACCCCTCCCCACACCCTGGTCACACCCTGGTCACACCCTGGCCCACACCCTGGCCCACACCCTGGGCCACCCCTCCCCACACCCTGGGCCACCCCTCCCCACACCCTGGTCACACCCCTCCCCACACCCTGGTCACACCCTGGCCCACACCCTGGGCCACCCCTCCCCACACCCTGGTCACACCCTGGCCCACACCCTGGGCCACCCCTCCCCACACCCTGGTCACACCCTGGCCACACCCTGGCCCACACCCTGGCCCCACGCCACCCCCATCTTAGACATCCAACACTCCCCCCCCCCTCCCCCAGAAGACACCTGGCAGGAGACGGCTGAAGACTGCTGTTACCTTGAGCGTGAACGGGGACAGACAGACAGCAGGTGGTGGCGACTGTCTCGGGCGCTGGACGCGGGTCTTGGAGACCCTATCCTGGCTCATGGCTATAAACTGCAATATACTTTATTAAATACCTCTATATATATTATAAGTAAGTCAAACAGCAAGACAGATTTCTCCCGTCACATGTTTTAGGATTGATGACTTTCCGAGGTATGAAGATACCAGTTTAAAGACACTTTTCGTCGTTATTTGTTCAAATTCAAAATTCAAATTGAAAATTTAAAAATTCAGATTTTCAATTTGAATTTGGCTTGACACTGGGCGGGGGAGAGCTCTGGGGGTTATAAACCATGTGCCATCACCCACAGGAAACGCCATAGGTTGGCATACTTATTCGAACAGATGGGATTAGAATCGAACCCTTAGAGCTTTAGACTAATAGATGCCAGAGTAAGGAAAACAAAGATACCGCGTGTGTTGCTCTGTTGGCTCTGGGGCTACATAGTTGTGGTTGGCTCTTGGGGCTACATAGTTGTGGTTGGCTCTTGGGGCTACATAGTTGTGGTTGGCTCTGGGGCTACATAACTGTGGTTGACTCCGGGGCTACATAACTGTGGTTAACTCGGGTCCGGACGAGCGACATTTCGCTCAGGGAATCACAATGGCTAGGAATTGTGATTCACGTTATAGGAATTTCCGTAGCCTAACTGTTTGCCCGTTGAATACAATGCCAAACAAACATTGCTCTAGGTCCAACCACTTGGCCTAAACGGTAGAGCGACGATCTCGCTTCGTTCAGTTCCCGACTGTCCAATGTGGGTGGGCACCATTCCTTCCCCCCGTCCCATCCCAAATCCGCGTCCTGATTCTTTCCAAGTGCTATATGGTGGTAATGGCTTGGCGCTTTCTCCTGGTAATTACCTTACCTTTGCTACGTCCTTGTGGTGTAGCAGTGGACTCGTGTGTGTGTGTGTGTGTGTGTGTGTGTGTGTGTGTGTGTGTGTGTGTGTGTGACTGATTTTGTGAGAAGATTTTGACCTTAATAAATACAATTGAAATTGTCCTGATAGGTGACCAAACCACACATCAGAAAAATGGAAAAAAACGACGTAGTTTCGGTCCGTCCTGGACCATCCGAAACGTCATTTATTTCTCCATCTTCTCTGTTGTTTGACCATCATATCTTCAGTCACGTTATTGTGACTCATCTTCAGCTTCTAGATAGGTACCAGCCTAGAGGAGACGGTGTTCATATTCACACCAAAGGGTGAATATGTTTAAAACAGTGAATACAATACCTTAGAAACAGAGCGCATAAAGCAGGCGAATGCTAGGCTCGTATGAACAAATCCACAAGGGCCGTGGCGAGGGTTCGAACCTACGTCCGAGAGGATCCCAGACGTTGCCTTAATCGACTGAGCTACGACATGGTTAAAAGTATTGCAACCGGAAGTTGTACTGACCTTACTCGGAACCTGCAGCCTCTCCGGATTTGCCCTTGTGGATTTCTTCATTTGATGCATCACGCTATTGAGATTTCTGTGTGTAGGCTTGAATAATTGCTATACAAACAGCTAAAAATAAATGGGTGATAGGGAACTAATTTTGGTATAACACTGCTAGGGTTAGCAGTTAAGGGTTATAATCATTTAAAGAAAAGATAAGAATCAATATTAGAATTTATTGTATTCATGGATAGCCTAGTTAAATCTAACTGGAATCTGGGAACGACTGTAACTAAATTTTGCGGTGCTGATCACAATCACATGTAATAACTTCCCATAATTGCGAAAATAACTAATTTTGTCCGGTCTTTTGTAGTGCAGATAACATAGAACTGCATAGAAATTTACAAATAGAAGTTGGGTTAGCTTATCCCCGTCACTAAATACTAATAGTTACATTAGTTTTACAGATCAATTGTTCGTTCTTGAATATATCTTGTGTTCCCTAGACTCGTCCAAGTGAGAAGGGCAGGCATAGTGCACAGAGCAGACCGAGGTATTCTCTGATATCAAAACAGACTGAGGTATTCTCTGATATCAAAGCAGACTGAGGTATTCACTGATATCAAAACAGACTGAGGTATTCCCTGATATCAAAGCAGACTGAGGTATTCTCTGATATCAAAACAGACTGAGGTATTCTCTGATATCAAAGCAGACTGAGGTATTCTCTGATATCAAAGCAGACTGAGGTATTCACTGATATCAAAACAGACTGAGGTATTCACTGATATCAAAACAGACTGAGGTATTCACTGATATCAAAACAGACTGAGGTATTCACTGATATCAAAACAAACTTGGGTATTATTTGATATCAAAACAGACTGAGGTATTCACTGATATCAAA